TGTATTTACGAAAATTATTATTTATATAATTTCTAAATTAAATCAGGATAAAAGAGTACTTTCAAATACTAAAAGAGTTAGTTTTCAAAAATAAATAAAAAGAGTGTATTTTTCAAAATTTCAAACATAAATAAGGTATTTTTCAAAAAACCCCTTAATTATTTATCCAGGTCGACGGTGTGTATCCCCATGAGAACTATCATATAATCATTTATAGAGCCCGAAAGTTTACCTATGTATGTCCATGAAACTATAGTTCGAAACCTATATACCCACGAAATAAACATTAAATATTTATATAGCCCAAATAGACGTTCAAAAGCTCATAACCCAAAGAATATAGTTATCGATAGTTTACTGTTGTTCACAAGGAGTACTCACTCAATTCTCAAGTCTGAAGAGAGGAACTAAACGCATTGTGGCGAATTAGGAATCAATATTTTGGTCTATCATTATCATTTTAAGCCACAAACATCAGGACATAGCTTTAAACCCGATTGAATTAGAAGCTTGACAAAAATCGACATTCTAGAACACCATAAGACAATGAAATTCGAACCTATTTTTTGTCCTTACAAACGATTTCAGAAACCAGAGTAAAAAAAATCGATTTGGGGATTTTTTTTTCAATTGAATTGAATGTAGGGTTTCAGTTTTGATTTGGGATTAGGGTATTACCGTTATAATTGGTTTTCGATCTTTACGGGTCAAAGGGTCGGGTTTTGGTTCGACTCAGGTCGCGGTTTCGGTTTCGAATCATGGTTCGATGGTTATGTCTCGGGTTACATATTAAACCAGTAAAACCAATCGAAATCGAATTTCGTGGGTATATAGTTTCTTGGACATATAGACAGAGGTAAACTTTTGGACTCTATATATGTTTATATGATAGTTCGTGGGGATACAGACCGTCGACCCTATTTATCCTGTTTAGTTTACAAGGATTAGGAAATTTGCTTTAAACAATAATGTTAAGGTTTTAGCTATAAGTATGTAAGTTCTGTCGATTGATGAATGATGAATGGTACTCAGTTTTCTTCAATTTTTATCTTCTACACAAAACTTCTCTCTTCTTCTAGATCAATTTTAGTGTTCTTCGTTTTTTACAACAACTAGATTTTTGTCCCGCGTCAAACGCACGATTGGAATATTCAATAAGAATTCATGATTTTTTTATAACTAGGTTAGGACCCGCGTATCAGCGCGGGTAATACACTAAATTTTATTAGTATCAAAATGGAAGTTTTAGTTAGTAACCCGTTAAATTATAAAAATATTTAAAATATTTAAATATGAGTCTCAATCCATTAAAGTTTAATTTGCAGACCCAAAAATACACGTACAAAAATGGGATTCAAAACATATTCATAGAGAAATTTTGAGAAATACCACTTTTGAAGTGCCATTTTTAAAAATGTTTGGAATTAGTTTACATAAGAATTAGTTATCAAATTGATAGAACTAATTGCTAAAGTTTTTAAAAGACATTTAAAAAAGAAAAAAAAAAGAATTCGTTGCCGACCTCAGAGGGCAAGAAAAAAAAACTGTAGATGGCGGATTTAATGAAAAATCAGAGGTGGATTTGATGGAGGACGAAGCGTAAACGGAAGCCGCGTAAGCAATAGCACCTCTCATGAGAAAATGATACGATGGAGAAACCCACGATTTAACCAGAGAAGACGGGGATCGAACAACGAATGCAAATAACCTTTCGAGTTTACATAATCATTAATCACAAATTAAAAAAAGACACATGTAACATATATAAAAGCCACATGGCAGCCCCTCAGAGATTTGGTAAAAAAAAACCTTAAAATATTGTAAGAGATAATAATATGGATAATTTAAGCTATAAAAGAAATTATGGAGGATTTGAACGTTTGATCCAAATAATTAATGCTAAGGAGGAGAATATCAGACGTTCAACGGAAGAAAAGACAAATTATCATTTTTTTCTTGTTATTTTAAAATCTTAAAATACTATTTTTTGTAGTTATTGTCCCCCGTAACGCGCTGGTACGTGCCTAGTATAGATAATTTAAGCTATAAAAGAAATGAATGTTATAGAACAACATGGCAGAAGATGATGAGATAAAATTGAAAGGATCTATATCTTCTCTTTTGCTAGAAAACGACTATAAAAGTCCAATGCCTCATGCGGTTTGTATTCTGGAACGGTATGTCCTGCACCCTGCAAGCAAAACATTCACAGAAGGAAACATCAAAATCAAATAACCAATTACATTTTTCTTTTTCTGTTAAATATGAAAGAAATTAAGAGTGTGATTCTTGCCTTGATGGTTAAAAATGTCAGATTGTTGATGTACCCTTGTGTAAACCTACAATACAAAATTGTAGGAAGGGTGAGTCTAAGAAGCAAATCGATAAAAAGAAAGTTATAGAAAAAAATTACCCAGCGACTTGACCATTTGATATCCATGGCCTCCATTCATCGACCACCTTGTATCCCATTGAATTCGTCCATGCTTCAGACCCAGTATATGGTACACACATATCATGATCTCCGCTGCAAAACAAAAAAAAACACATTTGTTAACTGTTATACTCTACACATTTTGTTTTGGTAATAAGGGTAGATCATCCACTGAAACTAATACTAATCCCAAAACCGATAGAAAATAGGTATCATTGCCAGTTGAGATGTCTGTAATGGTCAAGAGAGAATCAAAGATGATGATCATAAATAGTGGGATACGTTCCCTGGTTTTGACCCACTAGACGAGTATTCTACCACTCAAACAACACCACTGGACCATACCAATTTCGTTCTACACATTTTTCTTTGGTTTTACCATTA